CCCTCTTGCTGAACACCATGAACTTCCAAAGAAAGGACGAGCCTTTCACCTCTACAGGATCCGAAAATTGGCCCGTCAGCATGTGTAACAGCCACGTCTCATGATGACACTTCACACCAAAATGCATACACGCTTCCCTCCTGTGTCTACAAGACAAGGAGCACACATATCTCAAGGTGCTTTCGCAGGTGGAGCACACCTACAACTCAACCAACAAACTCCAAGAGCGGAAAACTACCATGGCAATAAATGAATCTGAGTGAAACACTGGCCTAAGGTTCCTAGAGGACCCTATCAATCCTCAACATATTTCAGGACACACCCTGAATCCAGTCCACTAATTCCACAAGCCCTCACTAACCCAATGGGACATTCCAACAAAATGGGTGCTTTCCAAAATGGGGGATGAGCCTTACCAACAGTAAGAAAGGTTCACTCTTAGACTCTTTGTCCCTGCATGCCTCACACCCACAGTGCCTCACTAAACTCAGCCTAACTGAAAACATGCAATTATGGAGCAAAACTAACCAAACACCCACAAGCCCACAGCACAAAGTCTAAACGCAGTCTCCATGTCTACTGGCACATAGGCACTAACAACTTGCCCGCGGTACTACCAGACACATTTCAACCTTCTTAGTCAACCACGTGGGGGGTCAACATTTCACGCCATCCTTGCCATGTTGTAACAGAAATGGCCTATGACAACTGCAACGTTTTATCAACCCTAATGAGAAGATGACTTCACACATAGGACAACACCCACACAGAAAGACATGGATATCAACAAGCTAGGAAAGCCTGTCTGTGACATTGGGCCTGAAATTGCAGACTGGGGACATGGAACAAGGATGGACAGTCATGTAAAAGCTCAAGTTTCACACAGTCCCACATGGCCAAGTATACCTAAGGCAAAGGTCTTTTCTAGCCCCAGTAGGTCATTTACTAGCAGGAAGTGACAAACATTGTATCCCATGACCCTGTCCCAGGTATCTGAAGTGCACGGGGGCGTAATCTGGGAGTTTCCAAATAGTTCAATCAAGGAATTTAATTGAGTACGTCATTACTGGCCTTTCACTTGAGACCACACTTTGTTATTCCTATAACCACCTAGGGGCATCCACTGAAGACCTAGGAAATGCATAAAAAAACGCCAAAACAATTCGTGTATGGTAAGTCACATAGCCATCTTGGATTTCTTCCTCAGGGTCCCATTTCTGCCTGGTTCATGGATGACCCTCAAAGTCTGGACACTGTAGGCCACTGTGTGACCAAGGGTATGGTGGGCTGACTCATGACAGACATTCGTGTGAGGTGCAAACCAAGAGTTACCACCACCACCTCCCTGATGCCTGTTCTCAGTGTACCTCATTTCCAGTGGCACTTGCCTCCTCACCAAACTCGGAGCAAGTGCTAGGTCTGCAAAGGGCAGGCCCTGTGTCACCAGGGAAAGGAGGCCAGGCCCTCTGTTCGAGAACATGGACATGAGGGACTCGATCTGCAGGCCCATATCAGCAACATAGAATTCTGACAAGACTGGACCACGCACAGGCCAGCCCCAAACACTCATCTGCTTCTGCAGCATGGACGCCTGTCTGCATGGGCACTCTGCCACCAGAGAGGGTCCAGTCCACCAGGAATTTGCGACCCATGCACACCTCATGGAGGATATGTCTCCATGGCCCACAACAGCATACTTGCATTGTTTGATGCCCTGGTTAGTAGAGTGACTGTGGACACCAGTGGAAGGTGACCATGCTGGGGGAACGTGCTAGACCTCAGTTCCAATGAGAGACGGTTGTGAGTTTTCACTCATTTTGTTCAGATTTTCCAAGGAATGTTTTCTGGGGAGTCATCATCGATCCGAGCACATTTAATGGCTGAAAGTTGAGCACCACAGGTGGGACACTGGCCAAACCAATAACCTCAAGGACCATCAGGACCCTGTACAATTCAGAGCCCAGCAGCAGGAACAGATGGTCCATGTGTTAAGTGAAATTTGGTATGCCATTAAAGGCCTGTGGACATGAAGGTCCTTCCAGGTCCACCGCATGCTAAAGACAATAGCAACACAGAGGGCAAAGTTAGGCTTACCTTCGAGAGCAAACCACTTGTCAGCTACATCCAAGCCACACTCCTCACTCAACTGCCAAGCACCTCCAGTCCTGCCAGTAAACAAAGCTCTTCCATCTGCATGCACGACACACATATCACGGCTCTCCCCTGAATAAGGTAGAGAAAGCATGTGTGTGGTTAAGAAATGAACCGACGTTCACATCAAACCACAAGCATGCTACTGTTCCCCACAGGCTGCCGAGCACATCTGCCTATTTACTGCTGTTACCTGGGTTACCAGGATCCCCACTGAGCTTTCTGGATGCCTGTATCCAGGTTTCAGGGTAGTTGTGTGTGTGTGTGTGTGTGTGTGTGTGTGTGCGTGTGCATGCGCGATCATGTGAGTTTGTGGTGGTGCGTGCTTCACTCGTGGGAGGGCATGTGGGTATGTCAGGACCTTCAGGAGCTCCCACTATGTATTTTCTCTCAGGCCCTGTCATCCTCCTGCAGAACAAGAGAGACTTCCAGAAAAGGACGTGACTTCTCACATCTGTGGGTTTCCAAAATCAACTAGCGTTTGCATGCCTAAGAGCACACACACACACGGATGCACACACTCTTTACTTGCAGTGGCTCTGAAGGCAGAGCAGACCTGCTGTCTGTGGGTGCTGTCTGAGGCAGAGCACACACATAGACCGCCAGCACTGGAAATGTCCACGAGAGTCCGCGTGTCTGTCTAAAACACTGGCCCAAAGGCACGAGAAGCCCCTTTCAATTTGCATCATACTTCAAGACTCACTCCACTAATTTCAATCCAGTAATTTCACTGGTCCTCAAGAACCCGATGAGACATTCTAAGAAAATGGGTGGAAGGGTCAGCGAGTGGTGTGGTGGATAAGGTGCTGGACTCCCACATGGCTGACCACAGCCTGAGTCCCAGACTCTGTACATTAAAAATCATGCCAGATGCATGTGCATACATGTTAAAACTCCCAAGAGGAAAATGGAGGAGCAGAAACGGTGTGGATAGATTTCTCACTTTCTCTTTCTCTCTCCGTCTCCAGGAAACACAATTGCCCTATGTAAAAAACCTGATGAAAAAAAAGAGAGAAAAGAAACTGCATGGTTTTCAAACACAATGGGTCACCTTCAATATCGATGGCAAAGAGTGCTCCCGTGCTGGCCCTGTTGGGCATGTCTCACACGTAAAGTGCCTCGCTGTGTTTGCCTCATTGGAAACATCCAATTACTAGGCAGAAGTGACCAAACACCACCCTCACGCCTTCAACAAGACCCAAACATGATCTCCATTTCTGCTGACACCTGAGTACTGATGAACCTACCAGCAGTTCTCCCAGGACTCATCTTCACCTTTCTAGAGTCAACCACATGGGAGTCAAGGTTTCATGCCTTTGGGCATGCTGTGACAGAGAACAGGCCAAGACAACTGAAACATGTCTCAACCCAAAAGAGAAGAAAACTTTGCCCACTGGACACCTCTAACAAAAGGAGACGTGGACATAAGGAAACTGAGAGGGCTGCCCATGGCCCTCAGTCTGGGCTTGCAGCCTGGGAGCACAGAATGAGCATGGACCTCCATGGTAGAACTCAGCAGTCATTGAGGCCCCCATGGCGAAGTGCGTAAGTTGTACACGTCTTTCTTAGCAACTTTTTCCTAACAAAAGCTCTCTGAAACACAGTTCACCAGGAACAGGAAAAATATTTCTCAGTGTGGATGAAGCCTGGCCATCACTGTTGCCAATGTGAGCCACTCGCAGGCATGAAGTAGACAACCATTCTATCCCATGACCCTGCCATGAGTACCTGAACTGCATGGACACTCACTCTGGGGGTTCCATGAACAAACACTGAAGCCTTATTTAGAAATACACTGTTGGACTCATAACTGCCTAGACACACTCACTGAAGACCCAAGTCACGGCTAGAAAACACCAAGACAATATGTGGCATGTGTGGCCTCTTAGACTTAGTCTCAAGGCTCCATTCCTGCCTAGGCCATTGGACCCTCGACTCCTGGACCCCGAGTCCTTATGTATGAGAAAAGACATGGTGGGCCATCTCATGATGGGCGTCTGCATGTGAGGCAAACCAAAAGTCACTACCTACCATGTCCTTAATGCCTATTCATTCTACCTACCTCATTTTCATTGGCACTTACATCTCCTCACCAAACTCGGCAGCAAGTACTAGGGTCTGGCTAAAGGCTGAAACCTCTATCCTCACCAGGGAAAGAAGGGCCTGAACTTCTGCTCAAAGACATAGGCCATGAGGGACTCTACCCAAAGGTCCAAAATGCCAACAAAGAACACTGTTAGGACATCAACAAGCCTAGGGCACATCTGAACACTCACCTAGTCCTACCACCCACAGGCATGCATGGTCTTTGCTTGGATGCTGTGACACCAGAGAGGGTCGTAACAAGGATTCTTCTATCTTAGCAAATCTTACTGAGAACATGCTGCTATGGCCCATAGGTTGGGAGACTCCCATTGTATGACACCCTGTGTGGCGGAATGATTGCGTACATTAGTGGAGGGCGACCCTGACTCTTACAGTCCCAACTGAAAGCATTGTGCTGGACCTCAGTTGTGATGAGAGAGACGGTAGTGAGTTTTCACGTGTTTGCCTCATTGGAAACATCCAATTACTAGGCAGAAGTGACCAAACACCACCCTCACGCCTTCAACAAGACCCAAACATGATCTCCATTTCTGCTGACACCTGAGTACTGATGAACCTACCAGCAGTTCTCCCAGGACTCATCTTCACCTTTCTAGAGTCAACCACATGGGAGTCAAGGTTTCATGCCTTTGGGCATGCTGTGACAGAGAACAGGCCAAGACAACTGAAACATGTCTCAACCCAAAAGAGAAGAAAACTTTGCCCACTGGACACCTCTAACAAAAGGAGACGTGGACATAAGGAAACTGAGAGGGCTGCCCATGGCCCTCAGTCTGGGCTTGCAGCCTGGGAGCACAGAATGAGCATGGACCTCCATGGTAGAACTCAGCAGTCATTGAGGCCCCCATGGCGAAGTGCGTAAGTTGTACACGTCTTTCTTAGCAACTTTTTCCTAACAAAAGCTCTCTGAAACACAGTTCACCAGGAACAGGAAAAATATTTCTCAGTGTGGATGAAGCCTGGCCATCACTGTTGCCAATGTGAGCCACTCGCAGGCATGAAGTAGACAACCATTCTATCCCATGACCCTGCCATGAGTACCTGAACTGCATGGACACTCACTCTGGGGGTTCCATGAACAAACACTGAAGCCTTATTTAGAAATACACTGTTGGACTCATAACTGCCTAGACACACTCACTGAAGACCCAAGTCACGGCTAGAAAACACCAAGACAATATGTGGCATGTGTGGCCTCTTAGACTTAGTCTCAAGGCTCCATTCCTGCCTAGGCCATTGGACCCTCGACTCCTGGACCCCGAGTCCTTATGTATGAGAAAAGACATGGTGGGCCATCTCATGATGGGCGTCTGCATGTGAGGCAAACCAAAAGTCACTACCTACCATGTCCTTAATGCCTATTCATTCTACCTACCTCATTTTCATTGGCACTTACATCTCCTCACCAAACTCGGCAGCAAGTACTAGGGTCTGGCTAAAGGCTGAAACCTCTATCCTCACCAGGGAAAGAAGGGCCTGAACTTCTGCTCAAAGACATAGGCCATGAGGGACTCTACCCAAAGGTCCAAAATGCCAACAAAGAACACTGTTAGGACATCAACAAGCCTAGGGCACATCTGAACACTCACCTAGTCCTACCACCCACAGGCATGCATGGTCTTTGCTTGGATGCTGTGACACCAGAGAGGGTCGTAACAAGGATTCTTCTATCTTAGCAAATCTTACTGAGAACATGCTGCTATGGCCCATAGGTTGGGAGACTCCCATTGTATGACACCCTGTGTGGCGGAATGATTGCGTACATTAGTGGAGGGCGACCCTGACTCTTACAGTCCCAACTGAAAGCATTGTGCTGGACCTCAGTTGTGATGAGAGAGACGGTAGTGAGTTTTCACTCATTTTGTTCAGCTTTTCCAAGGAATGTTTATAGAAGAATCATCATCGATCCAAGCACATTCTAAGAGGCTACAAGTTGAGTACTGTGGACCAGGTACCAGGCAGACCAATGACCTCAAGGACCTTCGGTATGCTGATCAATCAAGAGCCTGGTACCTAAGCAGACTGTTGAGTTGAAAAGTAAAATTTGGCATGCCATTCATGGTTAGTGGACACCTAGGTCCTTCTCGTCTACCACATAGTGAAGACAACATCAACATGTTGGCCAAAGACATAATTACCATCCAGAGTGACCCACTTGCAGTCGGCACGATGCATGCCACACTCATCACAGGATTTCCAAGCACCTCCAGTCCTCACAAGAGACAGATGTCTTCCCTCAGTATGCAGTTAGCCTTCTTCAGCACCTCCCCCTGAGTAGGGGAGAAACGTGACACGGGAGCTTGAGAAACAGACTCAGGTACACAGAACCACATGTGCAGGCCACTGTTGCCCACAGGGTACCCTTTGCATTTATTTCTCATTTACCTCTATTATCTGCCTGACTCTAGGTCCACATTGAACTTGGTGGATAACCGTAACATGGGGCAGGAGGGTTCTGTGTATGTGTCTGTATGTATGTGTATTTATACATACACATGTAATATGGTAATAACTGTGTTGTGGTAATAACTGTGGTAATAACTGTGTTGTGTGTGTGTCTCATCCTGAAGAGGACTCTGTGTACCTCAACACCATAATGAGCTACAATGTTACTCCTATTATGCCCAGCCATCCCCCTGTGAAATACTAATACTTCCAACAGAAGAATGTACCCTTTTACCTCTGCAGGACCCCAAAGCCAAAAAGAGTTCCTGTTTAACAGCTACTGCCTGAACTGATACCACACGATAACATGAGGATATATGCTTCTTCCCAGGGCATACAGGTAATGAAGAGAGACAGACTCTAGGTGCTCTTGCAGGCAGAACAAACTTACCACAAAACAACCACTCACCAGCAAATAACAGAGCCCCATCCTGAAACACTGGCCCAGAGGCACTGCAGTCCCTTTTCAACGCGTCAGGTCTACTAATTCTATACTCTCTGACTGATGGGATGAGACACCCAAAGGAAACGAGTGTTCTTCAAGTACGATGGTGCAGCCTCAACACCAACAGTAATGGGGAGTCCCTCGGAACCCTCGTCCTGCAGGCCTCACATCACAGTCGCTCACTGCACTTCCCTCCCTATAAACATTTACTCACAGAGCAGAGCCAACCAGACATCACCCTCTGCCTGAAATACAAGACTCCAACCAGACCTCTGCGCCTACTGGCACATACGGGTGCTGGCAGACTTGTGGGGAAGAATACCGGAACTCACAGCCACCATCTCAGAATCACGTGCGCTAGGATGCTAACGGACATTGGGGAAGAATACTGGAACTCACGGCCACCATCCCAGAATCACCTCACTAGGGTGATGGGACCCTTGCCATGCTGTGAGGAAACCTGGGCTAAGAGAACTGTAACACTTCACCAACCCAAGAGGAAGGGGACTGCACACACTGGACGCCTCTAACACAAGGAGACATGGATGGCACTCAACTCTTGTAAAAGAGTTGTCTGTGGACCTGAGTCTGCAATCTGGGGGCACACAATGGGAATGGACCTCCAGGCAGCAACCTAATAATCACAAAAAACAAGCAAGCCAAATGCATGTGTCTTTCTTAGTGATACTTACATGACAAGAACGCTGTGGAAAACAGGAAAAAGAATCAGAACAATGTCTTCTCTGAATGGCTAAAGTCTGAGAGGGTAGCCATTATTGGGATCCCAGTGGCCCATAAGAAGGCACTAAATACACAACCATTCTGTCTTGCAATGCTGTCACACACACTCTAAGTGTAAAGGGGCCCACTCTGGGATTTTCACATACATGCCAAAGCCTTCCCTTATGAGCATTCCTTGAAAGATAAAGTAGGGCCAAGAGACATCTACCAAAACACAAGACATTCTTGGAAAATACAGAGATAGTATGTAGCATGGTTGGCTGCCTAAATACTCTGAAATTTTTTCTCTGGTTCCTATATTACCTAGGCAACTGGTCACCTCAAAACCTGAACCTTGTGGTCTAGTGCATGGCCAATGACATGGAGGGCCACCTCCTGATGGACTTCTGCACATGGGGCAAAACAAGAGTCATCCCCAGCTATGTCCTTGTTGCCTATTTATTCTATCTTATTTACACTGGCACTTGACTCTCTGCACCAGACTCAGCAGCAAGTATAAGATCTGGCTAACAGCCAAGCCCTATGTCCTTGCCAAGGAATGGAGGCACTGGTTTTCAAGACATATACCATGTGGGTCTACCTCTGAAGGTCCATAATGACAACAGAGATATAAGGTAGGAGCTCACCAAGTTCAGGACAAACCTGCATACTCCCTGTGCTTATGAATCAAGATGCCTGTCTACACGGCTGCCACACCACTGAGAAAGAATAACCAAAGACTCTTCTGCCCAGGCACATCTCAATGAGGATGTGTTCTGATGGTCCAGAAGAAGCATGGTGTAGCTCAGCTCCCCTGGTGGTGGAATGAATATGCATACCAGTGGAAGATGACTCTCAATCCTATACACTGGCTGGACGTATTGTGCTGGACCTCAGTTTCAATGAGAGCAACGGTAATGAGTTTTCACTCGTTTTGTTCAGCTTTTCCAAGGAATGTTTATGGTGAAGTCATCATCGATCCAAGCATATTCAAAGCTAGTGAAAGTTGAGCACTGCTGGCAAGGTACACTCGGCGGGCCAATGACCTCTAAGACTTAGCACCCTGGATACTCCAGAGACTAGTTGTGGAGTACCATGGATATACAGGGCGATTGAGTGTAACTCAGCAAGTTACTAATGGCCTATGGACATCTAGGTCCTTTCAGTCCTTGATACTCATCAGACATAATTGGCACCATGGCCCTGGAAATGCTTACCATCAAGAGTGATCAAATATAGTGGGTGTGTCCCAGGCCATACTTATCCGCCCAAGGCCTCTGGTCCTCCCAGAAAATGGAGCCTTCCTTCAGTGTGCACAGCAAAGCTATCATGGCATCTTCACCTGAGTTGGACAGAGAAATCATATAGGCAATTAATTAAGAAAAAGTACTAGATAAACAACACAACATGTGCAAGCCACTGTTGCCCAAGGAAATCACTCAACTCTCTCACTTGTCTCCATTATCTGAGTAACTATGGGTTCCCACTAAGGTTGGTGGATAGCTATAAAACTCACGTCTGATTGCTTCTGTGTTTGTGTATGTATGTTTCTGTGGTAGTCCATGACTGCTGCATGTCTGTGTGCCTCCCTCCCTGGGGGAAAGGTGGGTGCCTCTGTCCTTCAAGGAGCTTCCATAGTATACTTACCTCGTGCCCTGACATCCTCTTCCTGAACACCAGGGACTTTGAAAAATGGATGTGACTTTTCCCTTCTTTTTTTTTTTTTTTTTTGGAGAGATTTTCACTGTAGGGTGCGTGCGCTCGCCAGACAGACAGAGAGAGACAGAGAGACAGAAAGCGAGAAATCACCCCCCAGGGGTGATGGTCACGCCACAATCCCTTCTCCTCCATTCTCCTCTCGGGATCTTGGACATGCACGCACACGCGCCCGGCGTGAGTTTTAACCCACTGGGTCCGGGACTCGAACCGCGGTCAAGTACGTGGGAGTCCAGCGACATAGCCATTACGCTAACTGCTGGTTCCCACTTTTCCCTTCTATGGGATCCCAAACTGACCAGAGCTGGCATATCTAACAGCCATTGCTTATGCCAAAACAAAATACTGTTCCTGCTAGGGTATATAAAAAAGCAGTATTTCCTGGTTATCTCCCAGGCCGAGTTCATAGCCCATTAATCAAATAACCACCAGGACCAGAAACCACTGCCATGACAGTAGTCACCTTGACCTGAAACACTGGCCCAGAGACATGAAAGTCTTCTTCCAATGTGCAATATCATGTCCAGGAGACACTCCACTTAGGGGTGCTCATTGATTGACCCAAAGGAACATTCCAAGAAAATAGGTAGTTTTCACCCCAAACAATGCTATTTGTTAGGAGCTCACCAAGTCTAAGCAAGAGATGCACACTCGTTACTTCTAGAACCTGGGTGCCTATGTGCATGACCACCCTGCCAGTTAAACAAGGACACAGCTACCCTACCATTTTAAGCTGAAGACATGTTTCTATGACCCATAAAAATGAAAGGCTTCCATTGATACACTCCCTAGGTGCTAGAATGACTATGTACACTAGCAGAAGGCAGCTCTTACTCCTACAGTCCCTGATGAAGGCATCATGCTGGACCTCAGTTTCGATGAGAGAGACGGTAGAGAATTTTCAATCATTTTGTTCAGCTTTTCCAAGGAAGGTTTATGGAGGAGTCATCATCGATCCAAGCACATTCTAAGAGGCTGCAGGTTGAGCACCATAGATGAAGCCCTGGACAGGCCAAAGATTACAAAACCTCAGCACACTGGACAGTCCACCTGTGTGGCCACCCAGCAACAAGATCAGATGGGTCACAAGGAGTGCTACTCTACATGCCATTACTGGCTTGTGGTCTCCCACATGCCAAGAAAACATTGGCACACTGGCCAAGACATACTTACCTTTAGAGTAATTCACATGTGGCAGGTCACCCCAGGCCTCACACATCAAAGGACTACAGAGTGGTGCTCTTTATTCAATGCAGGCAGCAAGCCCATCATGGCAGTCTCCTGGAGTTGGGTGTAGAAACCACCTGCAAGCTAGAAAAATGGATCCAGGTACACCACACAAAATGCGTGTACCACTATTGCAGACTGGGTACCTCTCTTGTATCTGCCACTCACTTCCTTCTGTTATCTCTGTATGTAAAGTTGTAGAATACAAAATCAGCATAAAAAACTCAGTAGCATTTACATAAACCAATAGCAATTCATACAGAAAGAGAATGAAATACAATTCTATTGATAATAGGTAAGAGCAACACCTAGAACTAAATTTAAGCAATTATTTGAATAATAATCCCTCCAGGGGGAAGGTCATGCCACAATCCCTTCTCCTCCATTATCCTCTCAGGATCTTGGACACGCACACACACACGTGCGCCTGGTGTGAGTTTAAGCCACTGGGTCTGGGACTTGAACAGTGGTTGACTATATAGGAATCCAGCAACATAGCCATTACGCCAACTTCTGGTATCAAAAGGACATTCTTTTCGATAAATGGTGTTGGGGAAACTGGATATTCAAACAAAAATTAATGAAAATTTAACCCTTCTCTCTAACTATACACAAAAATCATTTCCAAATGAAGTAGGGTTTTGAGACCAGCAGATGGCATAAAGATTACATTGCTGGAGAGCCAGCAGTTAGTGTAATGGCTATGTCGCTGGACTCCCACATACTCGACCGCGGTTGGAGTCCCGGACCCGGTGGGTTAAAACTCACACCGGGCACGTGTGCGTGTGTGCCCAAGATCCCGAGAGGAGAATGGAGGAGAAGGGATTGCGGCGTGACCATCGCCCTGGGGGGTGATTTCTTGCTTTCTGTCTCTCTCTCTCTCTCTCTCTCTCTGCCTGGCGAGTGCACGTGCCCTATAGCAAAAAAAAAAAAAAAAAGATTACATTGCTGGACTCCCACATAGTCAACCACGATTCCAGTCCCAGACCCACTGGCTTGAAACTGACACCAGGTACATGTGTATGTGTGTGCCCAGAATCCCAAGAGGAGAATGGAGAGAAAGAGATTGAAGTATGGCTATCCCCCCTGGGGGGTGACTTCTCACTTTCTATCTCTCAGTCAGTCTCTGTCTCTCCAGTGAACATGAGCACCTTATAGCAAAAATATCTCAAAAAAAAATTAAAGGATTAAGTGTAAGAAATGAAACTACTTCAAAGACATAGGGGAAATGCAATGTGACATTATTGTAGATAAGGACTGTTTACACATGATCTCTAAAACATAGCAAAAATTAAAAATGGTATGGCATTAAGCTTAAACTCTTCTGAACTACAAAGGAAATTATTTTAAAAACGAAGAGTCCACCTACAGAATGGAATTTATATGTATAAATTATATATACATAGAAATAATGTTTATATGCCAGGTGTATGTCATGCTGGGTAAAGTCTCTTTACGATCTAAATGATATATAGTGATTAAATGTATAAACAATAATAATAAATAAATAAACGTGAAAAAATAAATTAAAAAATTAAAACCTAAAAGAAAATGAAAATTTGAAGCAGACCTCCAACATTATCCAGCAATAATACTACCAGGTATATATCCAAAGGAAATAAAATCGCTATGTCGAAAGAAGTCTATACTCCCATTTACATCATAGCACGATACACAAGGGAAGATACAGAATCAAAATAAAAACCCAAGAGACAAACAGATACAAAAACACATAGGCCAGCAGGTGGCTAGGTGGAGAAGATAACGAACCCCACATGGCCAACTCCATGGTGTGAGTCCTGGACCTGGCGACATTAAAAACACACTGAGCGCGTGTGCATGTTCTCACAGCATGGAGCTACCATGCTGGGGGTGATTTTTTACGCTGCCCTCTCTCTGACAAGCTCATGGACACTGTGGGGGAAAAATCTTAACATAAAAACATAAAAAGGGTTCTTAGGTTTTTAGTTTTAAAAAAATTAGAATCCTATCAACTGTAATAACATGGGTAAGCCTAGAGGAATATTTTATTATGTAATATAGTACAGAAAGGCCAATATCATGTCATTTAATTCCTACATGGAATTTTAAAAAGTTGATCTTACAGAATTTGAGAGTATAATAGTGGTTGTGAGGATCTGGTGAGACTGGGTGCAATGTTACAGTCAGCAATCAAGAATAAATTGTGGGGAGCCAGCAGATGGCATGGTGGCTAAGGTATGGAAATCCCACATGGCCAACTGTGGTTTACAGGACCTGGTGGCTTTCTGTCTCTCTCTGTCTCTGTCTCTCTCTCTCTGATGATAACATGTGCCATACAGCAAATTTTAAAATAATAATAAGTAAAATTAAATAAATAATTCTTTTTAAAAAGGGGAAAATTGTGATGCTCTATTACACCAACAGTGTAACAGAGGTGACAACAGTGACTCTAATGCATTATACACTTTAAATAGCTAAAACAGAAGATTTTCAATGTTATCACAACAAACATGATATATATTCACCATAATGTACATGCTAATTACTTTTATTGCATCATTATGTATCAAAACATTGGATTATACCCCATAACCGTGTACAACTACTATCTACAAGTATAAGGTAAACCTTTGCTTCAAGACACACAGTCTAGGAAATGAGCAAACAAGCTATGGAGTATGAAAAAAAATTTTTTAGGTCACAAATCTAACATACAGGGCTCTTGTCTGTAATATATAAAGGATTCTATAAATGCGACATAAGAAAACAAAAATCTAATTTAAAAATGGGTCAAAGAGAGGCCAGCAGGTTGTATATTGGTTGGGGTGCTAGACTCATATGGCCGACCACGGTCCAAGTCCCAGACCTGGTGGCAAGCTTTCTCACTTTCTCTCTCTCTCTCTGTGATCAAACTAAAAAAATAATTTAATTAAATTAAATAATTCTAAAAAAAGTCAACATGCTGTAAGCAAAATAATTTTTCAAGGCAACTCCTAAGCATAGTTAAATTTCAAAAAGGACAGTTTGTTACATTATTAAATTGTAAAAACAAAAATCAATGACTCCTCAAAATCCTACATTTTTTTTATTCCATGCAAAAAATCACATGAAATAAAATTTTTAATTGGAAATGAAGGTGGACCCACTCTCCAGAGACAGAGAGGTACCACATAGGCGTTCCTAGAAGGCACCGTAGGCACGAGCACGTCCTCGAACTGCAGCGCCAAGTGGGTGAGCGGCTCTCAGTGTGCGGCTCAGCTGCTCAGCCTGTTCTCTGAAGTACAGAGCTCATCCCAGCCCTCCTCTACCTCAGCACACAAAACATGTAAAACAGAATCTCGGGACATAACAGACTAAAACCAAGGCAGCACGAACACTGGTGCCTGGTCATCGCCTAGCACAGGCACGCGGGGCTCCTCTGCCAGCACACGGACAAGACTCCGAGCGCCCACCACA